AAGATTAAGAATTCACTTTATGCGATTTTGAGTTATGTGAGGTTTTCCCAGAACGTAACCCTAGCATAAAGCGAGGGTCATATGTACTTATTATTATAGTTATAAGATTTTTTATGTCAATATACTGTACTGGAATGTATTACTCATAACTGTCTTTATTTCAGGAATTCATCAAGGGGTGAACTATACTGTACATGAGTCAGGCTTCCAAATTTCCGCCTGGCAGTTCTTAAGAAAACTGCTCTGAACATCCGAGCTATCACTGAACTCCTGTGAATTCTCATCTCTGTAGTGTTAGTTTGTTAAAAGTGGTGTGCTGTTAAGTTAAGGCTTAAGGAAAAATATAAACCGGTTGTGTTTCTGCAGTGTTAGATTTATTTAAAAGAAATATGTGCAAATGAAAATATTGTTTATTAGTTCTGGGTATTATATACAAATGGCCCAAAATATGAGAGTTTATCACTAGTTGGATGTTAATGCTGAAGACCTTCCACAACACCTCACACTATGGATGGAGATGGTGGAACTCCACGTCGAGTGGTGAGGGTGCCAAACTCGAGGCAGGCCTCAAAGGATAAAACACCTCTTGCAGAAAAGGTAAGTCCTTTTTCATTTTGAGAATTTGGAAAAAAATAGAGAAACCCCATAGAATATCACCATTAAATTTATATATATAAATATATATATTTTACATTAAGTTTTAAGGTTCTGTAATTCACTATACAAAGTTAACGGTACAGTACAGTGTACTGTACTGTACTGTACTTTAGAAGTACAGTGTACTGTACTGTACTTCTAAAGTGCTTACAGTGCAATCTTTATGTAAAAATTACTGAAGCTTTTTTATGCTTGTGTTATGCTGTGTGTAATGTGATTTTTTCTGATTATATATATATATATATATATATATATATATATATATATATATATATATATATATATATATATATATATATATATATATATATATATATATATATATATATATATATATATATATATATATATATATATATATATATATATATATATATATATATATATATATATATAGACAACAAACTAAATTGGAAACCACACGCCAGTGAAGTTGTCAAATCCTCCGGTTTCCGTCTCCACCTCCTCCGCCGACTCAAGTCCCTCGGAGTTCCTGCACCCGAGCTCCTCAGTGTTTACACAACATTCATACTTCCCAAGCTCACCTATGCCTCCCCACCCGGTCTTCCTCCCTAAATGCCACACAACGTAAACACCTAGAAAAAGTGCAAAAGAGGGCATGCAAGATTATTCTCTCCCCTTCCTACTCCACATATCAAGAAGCACTCAACACACTGACTCTTTCGACTCTCACTGACCATCACCACGACCTCATCTGCAAATTTGGTAAGAAGCTTCTACACCATCCTCGACACCGGCTCCTACTACCACCTGAGATCCCTAGCCCGAGAATTGCTGTTCGACACCACAACCGCATCCAGCCCATACGTGCACGAACTGATCGCTATAAGAACAGCCTAGTCCCAACCATTGTAAAAATTATCAATAACTTGTAATAAACCAATGTATTCACTCCCAGTAAATACTACTTCTTGCACTGTCAATATGTTGAAATGCACTGTAGTTTGAGCTTTTCCCCATCTAGTTATTATATATCTTATTTGTATCACTTATGTTACTTGTATATTTTTTGTAATTCGAAACCCATTCCCCAAATATGTAACTGTATATTTTCAGCCTTCTGGCTGCCAAGCTCTTTCAATAAATCATTAATTATATATATATATATATATATATATATATATATATATATATATATATATATATATATATATATATATATATATATATATATATATATATATATATATATATATATATATATATATATAAAATGAAATGCTATTCATTTCTTACAAATATCCTGATGTGTAGCATTGATCCCATAGCTTTTATATATCCTATTGTACTTTAATGTTCCTGGCTTATGGCTACCTCTCATGAGATTCGTGAGAAAGAAAGCCTCAAGAAGTGAGGGACTACTTGGTATTTTTTGTGTGTAATTTGAAATGGTAAAATAGTACAGTACGTATATACAAATACAGTATTAAAGTTAACTTGTCACTGTAAAAACGAGTGGAATTCCCAGCTGACTCACCCCATTTCTATGTCTGGAAGCAAAAATGGTAACTATACAGTATCTGACAATTGTTCTCTGCATTTGTCATATGATATGTAGGAAAATATCACAGGGCATCTACTGTGGCTATAAAAGGTTAGTAATGGAACTATTGTACAGTACTGTACTGTACCTATATACTGTAGTGAGTTCAGATACATATACAGAACTATGGGAGCAATTTGTTTCAATCCCTTTTTCCTTTGTTTGCATTATTGAGTCATTTTATTGATTAAGGACAGATCAATTCTGAGTCATAAGTTTGGTGTGGTAATGAGTCATGGGGGAGTCATATGGTTGGTATCATTCCTGGTTGGTTGTGAGTCAGGTTGTACTGTCAGATCTGTTGAGGAGATGTAGGATGCTTTAAGTGGTTTGTCTGACCAAGAATAATTTTAGTTCAAGGATTTTTCAGATTGTTTAGTAGTTTTCAGGATCTTTTCATGTGTATTAGGTGTCTTGTTTGATCTGGTCTCTGAATTCTTGTGTTTTACTTAGAGTTGCGACTTATGGAATATAAATTACTGTACCAGTACTGTAAACTTGAGTTTTGTAGATGGTATGGTTACCATAGATAAGTAAAAAAATCTAGATTTTAGTTGTTAGGATTGTAGAAAATGTGATTGATGAATCCATATAGCTTAATAAATCAACCTAGACTACATTATAAAGGTGTCTGAATATTGAAAAACTTGTAACAATTATAATTATACAGTACAGCATACATACATATAGTCTTCTATTATGATTGCTGAAATTACTTGATCTGAATGATTTGGGACTATAGTTGTTGAGACACAGAACTTCTGTACAGCACTTTACAACATCTTCCTTTTTGGCTCTGATACTGCTTTACTTTTGATAGCAGAGTAGTCCAGAGTAGTCCTAAGGATTGCTAATGGTAGTTCACAAGTAGGAAAAAAGACATCAGTACTGTTTACCCAGAGATGTGTGTGTTTTAGAATTTAGTACTGCACAGTACTGTATTTTGGGGTGCTGTGTCTGCACTGCTTATTTTGGGGAGGTAAGGTTATGGGACTCATTGTTATTACTCTGACTTAACCAGTATAAAAACCATCATAATGGGGCTTAGTGTTTCCCTTATTATAGGAGCGTTGTTGTGTTAGTATGCAGCAGAATATGTAATCTTGTTATTTTCCAGCGTTGCAAGGTAATTTATAGGTGTGGGTGAATGTTTCTGCTTTTTAATTGGGGTTTATAATGTATTGACGATAAAGAGATTCTCTACCTTTTTAAAATATAAGATTATTTTTAACGAATTGGGGTTCATCTTTTTGCCCTCTGAGGAAGAAGACTTTGTTCTTCTAAAATGTTTTGTTGGTCATAAAGCCGAGTCTTTTTAGCTTTAAGTAATATCAATTGTGAGATGTTAACCAATAATGTACTGTACATCAGTTGAACATAATATTTAGTAGTCATGAAAACAACATTTACATTTAATCTCATTCAGACCTTTGATGGGCTGGGTGTTTTACATTTGGATAAATTACCGTGCCCTAGATTCTGCTTTGGATTTGCAGAAATTTTAGCAAAATTTTAATTAACTGTCCAAGAGACAGAACATCTTAGGATTTAAGTTTTATTAATCAGTACAACATTTAACCCCTTGTGTACAGGGGTCCCTCTGTGCTGAATAAAATCATCTGACATTACACTGTACTCATAAAATATAGAAAGTGGTATCCATGTACTGAAAAGATTAAGAACATATAATCTTGACTAGTCTGGGAATAAGCACAAGTAGCCAAAAATTCATCCTTAAGGAAAGGCATGGCATTCTCAAATTTTTCCATGTACAGTACACCTGTATGTAGCTACCTACTCTTTCTTCTGCTGCTCTTGCTTAAGTTCCATTTCTAATTCTCTGAGGTGCCATGGGGGTTTATTTGACTTTTGCAGACTTTTTACTGGGAATACTGTACTCTTTCAAGGATCTATATCTCTCTTTCAGATTACAGTACATTGACTTTATTTTCAGATTACATTATCAGTCTTCCTTTTTCTCAGTTGTAATTTAGTTGCATACTGTAACTGGTCTCCTCCCCCTTTCCCTTTCATACTGGTAGGTAGAGACAGCCTTAATGTATACAATATCTCAGACAGTGTTTGCATCTGCTTGGAAGAAGTTTAATTATTTTTAAATTGTGGGGTGTATTGTACAGTATTACAGTACAGTATTTACTTCTCATTTAGAATTGCAATATTAAAAGTATGTAAAAACAATCTTGTCCCATAACTATACTGTACATACTCAAGAAACATTCTTATAATTAATAAGCTGCAGCTACTGATGTACCTCAGTGTAAATTATTGTACTGTTAAAGACAAAGACCTCTTATAACGTCATGTTGATGAAGAGTGCTTGAAAGTTTTGCCGGGTATTTATTTTGGATTTTTTTTATTCTGTCTTAAAACTTTGGTTTAAAAAATGGTGCAATATTTCCATTTCAAGTTTTTATCCATTTTCTTGAATATACCAATAATAACACTGAAAAACTGGGGCTGTAAGAGGATCATGTAAAAAGATTTACTGTAAGGTGCTGTATTGCCATTTATTGAACACCCCGTTAATTTTATATGCAGCATTTCCTGTGTCTTACACACTGAAATCTTCGATATCATGTTTGTAAAAGATTTGAGCTGAGGTCTTGGTAGTTTATCAGATAACTTATCTTGTGGATGTTAGACTGATGATTGCCTTGTTCAGCGTGTGGTTATGAGCCTTGTGTCAAGTTGGGGGGAAGGATGTGTGAACCTTGATAACACCTGGGTTGTCCCATACTCTTGTTCAGTCTTTGTCACACAGGCAGAGTGAGTAGAGTTGTCTGATGCCATAAACTACATTGGTGTGTTGTTGTAACTCGCTACCACTGTGTGTTTAAGGGGTCAGTCATATATTAAGCTGGGATCAACTCGGAACCATTTTGTAATTAACACACTCTTCTGTTGTTGTGAAAAAATAGAATTAGATACTGTTTTGTGAAAAATTCATCTGTGCATCAGGAAACAGGGAGTGTTTTGTGTGAACAAAAATTTTTGGGTGCATTCAAGACTAACGGTAATTTTTTGAAAATTCATGGCTTTATACACTTTATATTAGAATGGAATACTTTATAAGATATCCATAGTAACAAATAGTTTCAACTACCTGCACCACCACCACCACCATGAGTCGAAAACTTATTGTAAAAAAAGAGTTAAACAGATTGAGTGAACTAGAAAGGAATCTTAGAGAAAGTCCTCCAGGCAGTGATGAAGAACATTACACTCAAAACAGAGTCTCATCTCCATCATCTCTGGTTACAACCTCTGTTCCTTCTGCCAAGACATCCCCAAATCCTGCAAGTCAAGTACCACTACGAGGGAGATCTTCTACCTCTCCCCCAGATTTGAACCAGAGTTCTGATTCTTTAAGAAAGGCGTGCTCCACAAGGTCAGGAAAATCACGGAAATCTTCTTCACCTTTAGTGAGAAATCCAACTGCTACCTCACCGGTGTCTACGTCGTCTCACCGTGTACCTCCTAAATTCCCAGAGCCGAGCAGAAAACCATCCCCCTCATCAGCACGTGCAGTGAGGCTTAGAGAAAAATCCCCATATCCTCTTGCCAGGAGTTCCTCTTCTCCTGTTAACACAACTTCATCGAATGTTGGTGTATCAACTAATACTGCACAAGCTCGAAGTACATCTACTAAATCTCTCTCACCACTTGCAAGAATTCAGGACCCTCAGACAAACTTGTTACTTAAAAAGAATATTTCCTCTTCAACCAAGAACCTTACTCCCTCCCCAAAGGGTTTGTCCTCGATGAAGAAACTTTCTTCATCTGCCAAGAATCTACATCTGGGCCATGAATCAGGGTCAGCATCTTATCCCCCAAATGAAAAGGTAAACATTATACAGTACAAGTACAGTACTTTAACATTGGTATCATTATCATTCTTAACCAAGACACCTATTCAAAGTTAAAACTCACTTCTCTGAGCTTTATTTAACAATACAGTGCAGTACAGTACATAACTACTGTACTGTACTGTTATGCAAAAGAAAATAAGATGTATAAGGGGACTGGGTTTCAGATCACTTCCTGGACCAAATACAGTACAGTACTGTGTTTATGCCCCTGACCCTCACCACGGACCAATATATTTGCACACCCATCTCACAGATACTAAAAAATATACAAAACTCACTCATTTCCTACAGTGAACATGATCATAATATTGTTTGCTCTAAATTCAGGAAGTTATTACTAGTGGATTGTGTCTGGTTTGGGTGCAACCAGGTTGTTGCAGGAGGTGGTTCATGTTACCATTTACCGAGAGTAGTGTTTACAAATTTGGAATTTTAGAGTGTTTTGTCCTTAGAATAGAGATTCCTGATTTAATATGGCTGTCTTTTGTCTTGGAGTTTGATTACCGGTAGTCCTTCCATTTTATGATTTGGGGAAATTTATCCTGGATGCTCGGATCTCTGGAACTACATTTGAATAAGTTGACGATTCCCTATATGTGAGGCCTCTGGAATTTTCCTTGGGTTGAAGTTAAATTTTAATGAATCTCTTGGTACCAATTAGATGGTTGCTTTTGAGCTTTTGATTTTAAAATGACAATATGTTCTGGAGTAAGGCTCTTGGACATTCATAGTTTATGGATGAGTAGTGAAAAAAATTCTGTGGTTACTGTCATGAAAGGAAGTAAGTTCAGTATCTAACATGGGTTTGGAATTGAAATTTTGAGATTTTGTGGGATATATCCATGTACCATAATTATGTTATGAGAGGTCAGGTAGGCATTCTGGACCAAGTGTATGTAGGGTTTCATAATGTTGGTTGGAGAGAATATTTTGTTGAACCTCTGTGTACACACAGTAAAAAAAAAGTATTGCGCAGGGGGGGTGTCTGCTGACTTCCGTAATTATTCATACATCACAATGTGGCGGGAAGGTTGGTATGTGTGCCTGTATGGCAAAGGTTACCAACTAACTATAGTAGGGCCATATTAGTTATGTCCCACAGGACCGGCATAATATCATCAACACAATTACATTAATTATCTTACAAGGCATATTCCACTATCCCTCGTCCATGGTGTCATATTGTTTCGCACATAATCCGTGAGGTACTTTTTTGCTCTGTGTATCTATGGGATACTGTACTTTTAGATAAGTTTCCCTTAAGTTGTAGGGTTTTGCTAAGTTTGTTTAGATAAAGTCTGCTTATAGTTCAAGGTGTTCCTGGGGTAATATGAATATGGACTCTTCTCTAACCTTTCAGATTATAGTTAAAGCAAGTTTTATTCTAGTTTAAGGTTGGATTAATGACAAAATGGGAAAAGTTAAGGTTTTGGTTTAGACATAGTTCTCTGGTGTCGACGGAATGTGTCAGTTGGGCTTGTGACTGATCTCCTTTGACATCCTAAGAAGATTGGTTCCTTCCCTTGCAAGAAATTTTCTTGTGGAAAAAAGAGTGAGATGGGAAACTTGGCTGCCAGAATGTGGAGTTATGGGTTTCTTATCTACAAAATGAATGGTCCAGACTTCTTTTAGTAGAGGCCCAGTAGATATAAATGCTATGCACCTCTATAATTTTGCCATATATAGTATGATCCCACAATGCACTGTGCTTCCGTTTTTGTTTATTACACGTGGTTGATGGGATCAGTTGAATAGCTATAATAATTTGAACATTGATGATATTTGTTTCCAGTTAATTATCGCATAAGCTAATCCCATCAATTTGCCAATTTTTTCTGGTGGAATGGGGACCTAACAGACAAATTTGGTTTTAAAGATCAGTTGGACCCCTGTATAGTTACAAGTCACCATATATCCCTTATCTAAGTCATATGTTGTCTCTTGCCTTTTTGCCATGATACGGTATGCTTATGTTCATGTAAATAGATAGTTTAAAGACCATCGTACAGTTGTGTCATTTATTTGTCCATTAATGGGCTTCTTTAAACATCTTTTACCATTTTTCTCTTGGACACGCTTTCCTCACCTGAATGATTTTTCAGGTGAGCAGTTAGTTGCTGTCTATAACTTTGCTCACATACAGTACAGTTATGTACCGGTATTTCGGATTTAAGTGAGGTTTGGTATGTGAGGTAGAATGTTGGGTAGGCACTCCTCCTGCATACACTTGATACAGTACTTAAAGATCACTGCTGTGATGACTTTAACTTTTACAGTAACCACACAAAATAGCATAGCTAATATATTGTGTAGGTAGGGTGATGTTCCTTACCCCAAACTTATTTAGACTAGTGAATTGTTCATTACACATTTGTCAGGTGCTTGCTCGCCGTTATCTGATTGGCAGACCTATTTCCCAAGAGACACCTGACCAGTGTTGGGAAATCACTCTTGTGGTTGGCTAGTTGACCTCACAGCTTGTTAATGTGTACCTGTATGATTTGGTGCAGTGATAATATTGCCTTTGTTTATGTTGAGTTGGGATGTATAATTTTGTAGTTTATGAGAATGATCTGTTTTAACATTTTATTATTCTTAAAATTATAAGCACAGTGGGTTAGGTCCTATTAGTGTATAAATCACTGAGTTTTAGGCCATGTTATAGTGTACTCAGCGTTAAGGTAATTTGGTAGCTACTGGAGGTGAATTTGTAAGAACATGGGAATTTATGTGAGATTCTTTTGTGTTCCTTTGATTTGGTTGTGGATGAGTTTAGAAATATACTAGATACTGTGTGAGGTGGATATAGAGTGCCTGTTATATCTTCTTGATGGGATCTTTTTATTTATTTGTTTATTATTTTTACTTTGTCTTTATTTATTTATTTTATTGCTTCAGCTGTTTTAGAGATGTATTTATGTGTTCCCAGTGCAGTGGTACAGTTTGATGTCACTTTACTTGTTTCTCAGTTGGTGATGCAGTACAATAGTTATATCAGTTCCTAGTTCCTACACTGTTAGTTTTATGTTTCATCTGGCATTTGGGAACTCATCCAAGTTTTGAGGAATAATGATAAACTTTAGAGGAATATATTTTTTTTGAACCATTCTGAGATTCTGGTGCTTCGTCTGTTTGAATGGTTAAAGGTTTCTAAGTTTTCTAGTTTTCATTACACAGGCCTGATAACTTACTAAAAGTTAACTAGATATTTTGTCTATCAAATAGGAGCAGTATTTTTTTGCAGTTAGAAATTTCTCTCATTCTCTGAGGTATTTCTCATCTGGATGATAGGAGAAGAGTGATTAGTTGGTCACATTTCCAAGCCTGATGACCTTCGAGAAAAGACTAGATAAGTACTAGGCAGAGGGAGGTGTCATTTTAATTTTATTTATCGTTTCATCACTTCACAACCTATTAGCCGTTCGGGTGGTTGGTATACCATTTGTTACATTGCTATGACCTTCATTGTCTAGTGATATTTGGGGAGTCACACTGGATAACACCCTTCTTAATTGTGTGTCTGCTAGGAATCGAACCCATGATACTGTACATAGAACCTTGGTTATTTTGTTGTAGTCATTTGCCCGCCCCTGTGGCGTCGAGTAACTTAAGGGAAGCAGATGAACTGGACATATAGGCATAAAACCATTATCCCAGAATATGAATACACTGTACTATAATAGTGCTCAGGTCTGTAGGACTATTTTTCAGTGTATTTAGTCATAGCCTCGTATATCCAAGCGAGGAGACGTGGCTCCATGAGGGGGTATGGGGTGTAGTCAGGTGTTTCTCTCAAGTTCATGGTAATGAGTCATCACAATACTGTACCAAGTTAACGTACACCTGGAACTAACCTCAACACACACACACACACACACCGCCCAATACATTTTTTTATGGATTCTTTTGAGGACATGTTATTTTTGCTGGAAGTCTATGATTCTCCTTTACCTACGAAACATGTTATGTTTTGTAAATGGATGAAATGTTTGAGGAACAGGTTCAGTATCTTGTAAAGGCGGCCGAATGTTAATAAGCCTGGCGTTAGGTAAAAGAAGTTAAAGAAGACTTGGTAACCGAACTCCCACGAGCGGCTACACTTCTCAGCCTTGTCATCTGTTCATTCATTCTCTTTACTGTTGATCTGTTTACTCTGGAGCCTTGTAAGATCATTAACTCATTGAGGGTTGTAATCTGATTTTTAAGAATTTGTTCTATAAACGCTTGAAATTGGTGATGTATAGCTGCAGAAGACAGTAGGGAAGGATGCTCGTCGCGCCTCTGGCATAGCCGCCATGGGGGCGGACCTGGGGTAGGTACCAGAGGGAGTTTCCAAGTGCTGACTTTTATCCACTTTATTGTGGTTTGTGTTGTTATTAATATTTAACAGTGTACTACAAGTCAGTATACTTTAAATGTTAAATTAATTTTACTGTAGTAGATGGGATATAATGATGAAAAGTTGTGAATGTTTATTGGCGCTGCAGCACCTAACTGGGGGCACTGGGAGTCGTGGTGGGGGGAGCGCGATGGGGTAAGAGGACCTCTTGGCTGTCAGTCTACCTTTGACCCTGTTCTTGGTAACGTAAGTTGCACCTCGTGCACAGTGGCGTTACACCAGCACGGTGTGGTGACGCACACATAAACCGGGAGGAAAGTGTGATACAAACACCGGGATTTTTGCTTACTGAGGTAACGCGTTTAGAGAAGAGGGAAACATTTTTTTTACCATCGAGAACAAACAAGGATAACTTCGTCATTTACAAAGTTAATCCCAGTGATGAAATTTAAAAACGTTGTCCTGGTGTGATAACCCGCATGTACTCAATATGTTCTCCCGTCGGAATAATTGCAGTTGCCTTTTATAGAAGAAGTATTGTGTATGAGTTCGTCCATGGCTGAGGATAGCCATATGAGTACGCCCCTACGCCCACTGATGCACGCCCACGGCATGCTTAGGAATGTATACTCGT